GGGGGGGCGGGGGGCGGGGCCGCCGGGCGGGGCGCCGGCCAATAACGTCGGCGAGCAGCCGCCCGTTCGCTAGCAAAGTTTTAACCCCGGGAAAGAAGAAAGTTAAAGGGAAGCGGCCGGGGACCCGGAGAGAGCGGGGACACGAGCGGGTGGGAACCGGGGCGCCCGAGAAGGAGAAGCAGAGACAAAGGGAAAGCAAGGAGAGCGCCCGGGGAAACCCCGGAGAGGGGGCTGGGCCCGGCGCGCACCCCGCGGAGGGAGGAGGGGCCGGCCGCAGTCTGTCCGCGTCGCCCCGGCCCCGCGCTGCGCGGAGAGCCCCGCAGGTTTCCGCCGGCCCCACGCCCGGGGGAGCGCGCAGGCCTGGGGGAGGGGGCGATTTACTCCCTCTTGGTCCCAGGCAAACACATCTGTGTTTGTTTTCTTTGCTGCGCCGGGGTCGGGCCTTCCTCTAACCCGGCCTGATGGCCCCGGTGGCACCGCGCACAGGGCCGTGCCCCGTGGGCAGACAGCCCAGGATCGTAAGGAAGAGCCGAGGAAGATGGAGCCTCCGCTGGCTCACCCCTCCCGCCCGAAGCCCCTGGGGTCCGGAGAGAAAGAGCTGCTCCCCCGCCCCCCTCCCCCCTCCCCACAGTTGTCACCGTGCGGTGGGCCTATCTGTCGGGAAAGCGGCCCTTTTCCTGCCCGGGGAGCTGTGGTGGGCTGGAGGGTGAAGAGGGAAAAAAGCGGGACAGCACCTGGGCACTGGCCAACGCCCCTCCCGGACAGCTCTTTCAGGCTCAGGCTGGGGGCAGCCTAGCCCTCCCCAGATCCAGAGGCAGCCCTGTAGGTACTTGCTGGCTCAGTGTTTAAGGGTGCTGTGGCCCATACTATCTTGTGGGAGCCCACAACAGCTTTGCATTGTAGGTATTAAGCTTCATTTTGCAGATGAGGAAACAGAGGTCTCAGGAGGTGAAGAAACTTGCCTAAGGTCTGCCAGCTAGTAAACATCAAATCCAGGCATAGAAACTTGTCTCCTTCCCCTCCTCACATTTGTCAAATGGATAATCCCACCCAATTTGAGTGGGATTGGGGCATCCTCAGGGCCACCCGGCTTCTCCTTGCCTCCTCTGCCCCCTTAACGAAAGGGGGGAGGGCAGTAATAGCATCCTTTGACCACCTTGCAGCAGCAGCCAAAGCACTTTGGGGAAAGAATACATGGGGCTGAGAGTTTGGAACTGAATTGCAGTTGTTACTTTTAGATGCGTGAGCTAGTAATAGACCTGGCTTGAAAGCCCAGGGTCCTGGTTCTGGCCCAACAGCTGACTTGCTGCATTCACTCCATTGAGTGCCTCATTTTGTCTTACTGGTATTCTCATAAACTCTGGGAATCTAAAAAGGGGCCTCAGGGCTAGTCTGGCCCAGCTCAGTCTCTTTGGACCACGGCCTTCCCCAGCCTCCCTGAGAGACAGCCACCCAAGTTCACTGTGCCCTTGGGCTGCGGTGAACTTCCAGGGATGGGAGTTCACCACAGCCCAAAGAAAGAAATCCACTCCATTGCAGGACAGCCTGGACTCATCCCCTCCCCTGGGGTAACATTTTAACTTTGCCTTCTTGTGCCATGTACCACTCTCTACACTATTTATTTATGCCTTGCCTTGTGGCAGAGGGGGATTTCAGGTGACTTACAAGGTACTTAAAACAAGGCAAAATAACATAAATTAGAAAGTGAGGTGGAAGGAGATAAACGTTTCTCTTTTTTTTTAATGTTTAACCCTGTGGACTGTGAAATCCCAATGGCATACTGAAAGGCAACACAGCAGTCAAGGAGCACAGGCTTTGGAGCCAGAGTGTGACCTTGGCAAGTTTTGCATCTTTCTGTGCCTTGGTTTCCTCATTTGTAAAAGGGGGACAACAGTCTCTATCTCACAGGGTTGTGAGCATCAAATGAGTTAACACATACGAATATTATAGCTTATAATATGTGTACATAAATATTGTACTTAGATCATCTACATGGGTGTACTGTCGTATAAATTTATATGTGAATGTACATAAAGCCAGGCACACAGTAAGGGGATGTAGAAATGTTAATTGGTAGTATTAAATTGCTAGCTCTTCATAGAAATTTCAAGTTATTTAAAGAAGAACATTTAATCACATGGAAAGAGGTTCGTGACATATTATAAAATGAAAAAAGGAAATTACAAAACTCTATGCCCCCCAAAAAACACTAGGCACAGTATACTCTCATTTTTATTTTTTTTAAATATGCATAAAAAGACAACATTGCTAATTGTGGGTACCTCTGGATAGTGAGATTACTGGTGATTTTTGTTCATTTTTGCTTGCCTGTTCTTGATTGTGTACAGTAAAATAAGGAGAGCTAAGAGAAGAAAAACCAAGAGGGAAGGCAAAGTAGAGATGGGAATAAAGGTAAAACACTCCCTGGGATGCCCTATTCATCTTCTGGGAGTGGGCCACAAATTTGTCCCTAAGCTTTCCCACAGCCAAAGTGAAAAGGAGACTATGTCAGTTACACAATTCCAAGTGTCCATGAGATAAAAACAGACCTATTACTCAAGAGAATTACTACTCTTGGTACTAAAATCAGACAGGAATTTCTCCTGGGGGGGCCTCATAAAGAGAACACAGTGTGAGGTAACAAGCAAACATCCTCACCATCCCTAAACCTCTCGGAGGGTTTCTGTGATGGGCCATAATGTAAGCCAATGGCATCGCAACAAAACACAAGTCAGGAAGACATCCTGACAAGGATGGGTCCGAAAGAGGTACACTGGGGTACCCCACTCACTGCCCACCCAACTTGGTCTATTTTGGAGTATCTTCAAGACTGGATTGCCCAGCGTTCTGAAGCCTTTTTCTTGCTATGTTGTTTCTGTCCCAGAGCTTTTGATGGACCTTGTGTGGCAGCAAGTTCGAAATTATCCTCCCTGGGGTGCACCT